TGCCTAAGACCTGCACAGGCTCAAGCCGGACAAATGCCAACATGGAGAGGAGAGGTGGCCATGCAGTATCACTCCCGGCTGAGGAGCTGTTGTTAACTCTAATCTGTTAGGAGGAGAGTTGGGTTTTTTTAAGGGTGTAGACTGACCCTGGTAGACTGACCAGTTTTCACACCACATTGATGACACAGTCAGCAGCACACAGGCTTAACTTTATTACATCTTTAGATGATATGAATGGCATTCTGTCTCACAGATGCTACTCCTGCGGCAGGGGTATAGTTCAGGAGTATAGCACAAGCTTCGCATGCAAAAAGCCCTGGCTCAGATCCCTAGCACCAAAAAACAAAAACAAAACAAACAAAAACATAAAAGTAAAAACCAAGTATTATTCCTCTTGTCACATATACATCTTATAAAAACCAAACGTTGTCAAACTAATAACACTAAATTCCCTAAGGTATTTTTTTCATTATTGAAAAATGTCTAAGATTTATCCATAGGACAAAAAAGGAAAAAAAATATTTAAATTTATGTATATGTAGTGGGTGTTTATTTTTTGTATGTTCATGTGATGGAGTGTTCATGTGGAGATGTATACTTGTATGTGCATATGCATATGAAGGCCACAGGTTCAACCATAGATATTGCTCCTCCATCACCATTCAGTGCATCTTCGGAGACAAGGTTCCACACTGGGACTTCATTGATTCTGCCACCTGGACAGGAAGCTCCAAGGAGCCTCGTAGCTCTACCCTCTCAACACTATGATTACAAACACAAGCCAGGACTCATGCCTGTTGAGTAAGTTTCCTCCAAGATTCAAAAATTCCATCCTCCGGGATGTGTTGTAAGCCGGAAGGTAAACCACTCAAAAACAGCTTCAGGAAGTCCCTGAAACTAACCAAGTCCACTAGGCCCCTTCCTGCCAGAGTAAACAATAAAAGCTGAGAGCCCCTCTCAGACAAGCCAGCCAGCAAAAAAGTCATGGACAAGACAAGCTGCCTGGAAGAAGTAGAAATTAGCCAAGCTGTCTAGAAGTTTATACCAACAGAAGTACCTAGACAAGACACTCTCCAACCCATTAAGCTGCCTGTAAGCTGTATAGTTGTGTTCCTGGTTCCCAGCTTTTGTGAGTTGCCAACCATGCTAAGGGTGGGCTTTGGTAATCCAGCTGTCTTTGAGTCATTCTGTTTTTGTTCCTGTAAGTAATGCCAATAAAACTCATGGTTCACCAAGTTGGCCTTTGGTGGTATCTATGCTTTGATCTATCTTGGGTTTTACTATCTGGAGTGAGCAGGTATGTGTGCATGTGCGTATGCATGTGTCTGCTGCATCTCCCCAGGAAAAGTTCTGTCACACAACAATGGATGTTCATGTAGGTGCTGGGTAATCAAGCTCAGGTTTTCAACTTTGTGTGGCAAGCATTTTACTAACTGAGGTATCCCCTCGGCCTCAAAATCAAATGACTTTTATTAAGATGTAGCTCTAATCAGGTACCAAAGCAAAAAGATACATGCACAATGCCATTCTGACAGCTGCTCTAACAGAAGGTCACCCAATGTTATTTATCTTCCTATATGTATGTCCGGTACACACATATAGGATGATGTGTCCAGCACAAACTTTACCTATACTTTACCAAAAATGACTACTCTCTCAATCAAATCTTTCCACCTAATTAATCTTTTATAAAAAAAAAAAAAATATATGAGACAGAGGAATAAATTAAATATAGGCATAATCAAATAGAAAAGTTGGTATATGCTTTCTAAAAAGCTTGGATGGTTAGAAAAGGATCCTTGGGGCTAGACAGAAAGCCCAGCAGTTAAAAACACAGATTGCTCTCAGTGGTAGTTTGAATAGGAATGTCACACATGTTTGAATGCTTGGTCCATAGGGAGTGGCACTATTAGGAGGTGTGGCCTTGTTGAAGTAGGTGTAGCTTTGTTGGAGGAAGTGTTATCATGGGCTTTGAGGTCTCATATGCTCAAGCCAGGCTCAGTGTGATAACACTCTTCCTGCTGCCTGTTGATCATGATGTAGAACTCTCAGCTCCTTCTCCAGCATTCTGTCTGACACTGCCATGCACCCACCATGGCAATCATGTACTAAACCTCTGAAACCAGAAGCCAGCCCCAATTAAATGTTTTCCTTTGTAAGAGTTGCCATGGTCATGTTATCTCTTCACAGAAATGGAAACCCTAACTAAGACAGTCTCCCAGAGGACCAGCATTCTCTTCTCTACACCCACATGGAGGCTCACAACTGCAACCCCAGTTCCAAGGATTCTAATGCTCTCTTGTGGACTCTGGGGACACAAGGCATATAAGTAGTACACAAACATACATGCAGGCTAAACACCCATACATATAAAATAAAATAATCATTTTTTTTCTTTTAATGAATGGAAACTTTGGGGCTGGAGAGATGCCTCAGAGGTTAAGAGGACCCCTCTTGTATAGGAGCTAGGTTTGGTTCAGGACCCACACATTGGTCCACAACCATGCATATCTCCAGTTTTAAGGGCTCCAACATGCTCTTTTAACCTTCAAGGGTACTGTGCACAAGTGTGGTACATATACAAACATGTAGGCAAAACACTCATACACATAAAAATAAATAAGTGTAAGTAAAAAAAAAAAATTTTTTTTTAATTAACAAAGGAGCCAAAAAGATGGCTCCACAGTTAAGAGCACTTGCTACTCTTTCTGAAGATCCATATTCGGTATCCAGGACCCACCTACAACTCAAGTTTCAGGGGATCCAATGCCTTCTTCTATTTCCATGAGCACTAAGCGTGCACGAGGTGATGTATGCAGGCAAAACTCATACACATAAAAAAAAAATCTTTAAAAGGGGGAGGGGATCCAAACATATTTTAAGACATTAATAAAGAAGCAAAATAATCAAATACAACGTGTGAACTCTGTTTAGGCCTTAGTTTTCAATATATATTATATATACAATATATATATTTATAACTATATATGGCTTTACGTATATAAATGTCAAAAGAAATTAAGGTTGGAAAAAATCTAAGTATGAACAAAGATTACAGAATTGTTAATGTTCACATATTTGATAATGGTATGTCAGGCAGGGGAATAGTCTTATTTGGAGAAGCATGCTGAATTAAGGATAGGTGTTGTCTGCAACTTCTTTAAAAGATCAGCCAAAAAAACTAAATATATAATTATTTGTAATGTGTGTGTGTGTGCGTGTGTGTGCTCACGAGCACCAGCACGCCTGAATGCACAGGAAGAAAGAATGCAAATACCAAACATTTTTTTAGTATGGGAGGCTCATGAGGTCACTTCGGGGAGGATCTATAAGTAATTAATGGTTGCTAGATGAGGGAAGGACATTTTCTTCAGTACTATACCCATGTGCCTATAAATAACCATTCATCCCATACACCTATAGTCAACCCTACAGAAATTCACTGGATCATCAAACAAATCAACAAACAATGGCAGCAAGGTGTAATGACCATCTGTGAAAAGAAAGGGGAACTGCAAGGGGAGAGATAAGAGAGGCTAGCAGAAGAGTATGACCACAATACATCATATATATAATGTAGGACACTGACGCTCATTATTATGTATAGTTAATACATGATAAAATAAGACTAAGTTTTTCAAGGGCCTGTCTCTTATGTGGTATTATTAATAAGGGTCATTTCTATTTTTTTCTAATCTTGTTTTCTAATATATTCTATGAAACAATTTGTATTTTCTCCATTACTTATGAAGGAATTTTCATTCCTACTGAAAGATCTAAGCAAAGGAAAGAGAAAGAAGAAATCAAGGGAAAAAAAGAAGAAGAAACAGGTACATATATAGAAGTTTAGCTAGGAGGCTGCCTTGCCAGACCTCAGAGCGAGAGGGTGCACTTAGTCCTGCTGCAACTTGAGATGCCAGGGTGAGTGGTACCCCTCAGGGGCCTCCTCTTCTCTGAGAAGAAAGAGTGATGGGGAAAGGGGGCATGAGGGTACGACTGGGAGGAGGAGAGAGAGGGGCTGGGATCAGGCTGTAAAGTAACTAAATAAATAAGTGGGAAAAAAGGAAGTTTAGCTAGGTAAGGGCTATAAATAAAAGATGTACTATTAAGTTCCTGTGAACCCACCATACTTAAAAAAGCACATAAGAAGTCAATGGCAAGTAGTAAGGCAGCATACATTCAAAGACCAACATTAAGGGTGGGAAAAAAGGCAGGGTGGAGGGGGGAGCTTAAGCCCCCCTTAAGCTACACAAAACTGTCTCAAAAAAAAAAAGAGAAGAAAAAGTGAAAGGATAATTAAACAACAATTTTTCGTATTGGGCAACACACTCTTTTGCTTCACTTAGACAAAATAAAGGAAGCAAAGCAGTATACGGACTTAACATGACTATTACGAATTCATTTTCCTTAAAAATGGCAATTTTGCAGGTGACCCTGAAACACCTCTTTTTAAAAAATGAAATGAGATATTTAAAATGTGAAGCTATAAAATATATAATTGTGCTGGCTAGTCTTGTGTCAACTGGCCACAAGCAAGAACAGTTTTGGAAGAGGTACCCTCAATTAAGAAAATGCACACACCAGATTGGCCTGTGGCCAAGCCTGTGGAGCATTTTTTTCTTGACTGACATTTGATGTGGGAGGGCCCAAATCACTATGGATGGGGCCACCCCTAGACTGGTGGTCACGGATGATATAGGAAAGCAGTCTGGGCAAACCATGAACAAGGCAGTAAGCAGCACTCCTCTATGGTGTCTGTGTCAGCTCCTGCCGCCAGCTTCCTGCCTGAATTCCTGTCCTGACTTTCCTCAATGATGGACTGCTACCTGGAAGAGTAAGGAGAAATAAACCCTTGCCTTCCCAGGTTGCTTTTGGTCATAGTATTTTATCACAGCAACAGAAACCCTTTATGTGACAACAGAGACTGTGAACCAGAAAGAGTGAACAGTCCTCCATAAAAAAAAAAAAAAAAAAAAAAAAAAAAAATTCCTAAACCATACTTTTTGTTCTCAGCCAGAGTAGCTCCTTCATCCTTCAGCTGTTTGCTCTTCTGTTTACAGCCTTCCTGGAGGGATTCCTTTCTCCGTTTGCTGGCATGAAGCCAGTTCCCATCTTCACTCTCAGCTGCATCCTTTTCATCAGCAGCTTCGGCTTCAAACTGCAGGGATGTGGCCTTGGATACCTTCTCACCAATTTTCCTCTTCCACCCAAAGGAAGCCATTCTGTAGAATTCCAGAAACATAAAATATTAGGAGCATGTTCTACTGAACAGGTGGATACAGACTAATTACAAGCATCCCAGCACCTGTTTGTCGACTGAGCAGACAATCACCAAGTAATAAAACTTCAAAGGTGATATACCTGGACACTACTGTTAACCTCATTTCCTAATGGGAGTGGGGTGGTCTTGCAGACTAGCCCTGATTCCCAACAGGCCTCTACCAATTTATACAAAACACATGATACAGTGAATCATGCTCGTAACACATCAGATGTGAGAAGCAGAAACTAAAAAAAAAAAAAAATAGACTTTGTTCATTTCTTCAAGAAATGAACAACAGGAAAAGCAATGGGGAGAAAGAAGGGTGGCAACCCTTAGGCTAAGGGACTCAAGACACAAAACTGAGCATAGTGTGTATTTATCTTCTTTCACTTCCGACTTAAAAAACCAACACTGAAAGGACATTATGAAAGAACAAATCATATCGCTGACCAGACATCGGACAACCTAAGTCACTGTTATATTTTAGTTGTCATAATAATATGATTGAATTTCAAAAAAAAAAAAAAAAAAAAACTCTTTAAGAAATACACAGCAAAGCATTTATGAAATTACATGATACCCAGGGATTATTTTGAAGTCATCAGTGCTGAGAAATGCCATGCAGTGGTAAAATAAGATCACTTTGGATTGGTAATTGATGAAGGGAAAAACATAAAAGATTCATTGCTCCTCTTCCCCTTTTCATATGTATTAAAATTTTTCCTTAATAGAAATTTTTTATGCTTTGAGTCATTTTTTTTTGTTTTGATTCTGAAACAGGACTCGCGATATATTACAGCTGTCCTAGAACTCAAAGTTATAACTCAGGCTGGACTCAAACTCATGATCCTCCTACCTCAGCCTCCCATGTGCTAAAATTACAAGTATGTGCCATTTTATGGATAAGCCAAAAAAAGAACAGAAAAAAAGAAACAGAAAAACAATTATTAAATGGCTTTGTAAAGCCCATGATATTCTAACATTAAGGAAAAGAAAGGGTAGCTGAGAGAATAGGGTGAAAAGTAGAAGTCCTCATTAGTAATTATCCATAGGATTAACTAAGAAATCCAGTAAATCACTACTCTGCTGGCTTTAAGATACAGGGGAAATGTATAAATATCCTATATGCTATGTGCATTCAAGAGTACCTAAGATTTTACCCATTCTTAGTCGAAGCTGTGACCCTAAGGAGATAGGAAGAAAGCAATGAACTCAGAGGTCTTTTTTAAATAATCAAACAATACGCATCACGAGGAGAGAGGGAAGACAACAGAAAGTTTCCAGCAATGTCAAGGTATTAGTCACTGATACATATGGCTTAAATAAAATGTAAGTAACAACAGGAAGAGGGCAACAACTACAACAACAACAAAAAAGAGGCTGGATATAAGTCATTCCCATATAAAACCCCAAATTACTATGAAATGATAGAAAATGATAGTCACAGGCCTGTTACTGAACAAGAGAAAATCTAACAGATCACATCAATCAACAAAGTACACAGGTCGATGCAGGTCAGGTATGTGCTTATCAGAGAGTTTTGGGAAATCCTGGGTAAGTAATGAAGCATAAACTGCACTAGGGAATTAGGATGATGGAAGCTTCCTCCTCGGCCTCATCATAACATGGGAAAATGTATTTCCTCTGTCTGAAAAATCACTTTATATAAATCCCAGGAGAAGACCAGGAAATGACTAAAAAATCAAAGTGTGGTTACTATAAATGACAAATCCACAGGCACAGAGTGAAGACAGCCTGGGAAAATGGATGCTTAGAATGCCTTCAGAAGATTCTAGAATATGGCAGCTAGAGAGATGGCTCGGAGGTTAAGAACACTGGCTGTTCTACCAAAGGTCATGAGCTCAATTCCCAGCAACCACATGGTGGCTCAGAACCATCTATAATGGGATCTGGTGCCCTCTTCTGGCCCGCAGGCACAAATGCGGGCAGAACACCAGACATGAAAAAAAGAATTGTGGAAAGATTCTAGAATATAAAAGGAGGTTCTATTGTATTTTCTGCTGTGCCAAAAGATAGTGAGAATGAAGAGTCCATTTTCTGATTTCAAGTTCCCAAATGGAACTTTCTTCTACATTACCAATGTACCAGACAGTGTAACAGATATATTAGTGACAGAAACCTAATGTGTTTAATGAAGGAAATTTCATTTTAAATCACTGGTCAAATCTGTTAGTAAAAGCTGGGAATAGGATGAGAATGAAAATAGTGAGTATATATTTAAAAAGTTAATAAATCAGCAAGGCACGGTGGTGCATACCTCTGATCCCAATGCTCAGGGAGGCAGAGGCAAACGGATCTCTATTGAGTTCGAGGCCAGCCTGGTCTACAAAGCAAGTCCAGGAAAGCCAAGGCAACACAGAAAAACCCTCTCAAAAAAAAAGAAAAAGAAAGAAGTAAATTAGCAAATCACTGAGGTTCCAGATACCCTATCTTCCAAACTAAGCCCTGTTATAAATGCTGCAGACAGATACGGGTAAGTCCCAGATGCTAGCTCTCAGCCACACACCGTTGCCTCAGGTGCATGTATCATTCTCCCCTACAAACACCTTGAGATCAGAGGCTACAGAAATCAGAAGAGAATGAAGCTATTAAGAGTATGGAGGCAGATAACACCAGAAATCAACAAGCTTCAACTTGAAGAGGGAGGGACAAGAATACATTTCTGAAGGTCAGGAGGAGAGTGAAAACAAAGTTAGGGATTTCACAAATTTCACATTACTAAATAGAGTGGGTGGTAGTCATCTACTCAACATAAAGGAAAAAGACAGATCTAAGAATTTGAGAAAAATGAAAACAAAACAAAACAACACAACAAAAAAGATTTAATCAGTCACTGTGTAGATTAGGAAAGACATAACAATGAGGAAACAGCAAGCAGGATCCAGAGTCTACTAAGATGAAAAGCATAAATGTGTTAGCAAGTCAATACCAAGTTTCTATTTTCTCCCAAATTGCCTTTGTAGAAGGAGAGAATACTCAAGTCCAATACAGCTTAAGTGCTACCAAGTAAATCAAATGACACTGTCAGACAATGCACACTTGAGCCTTTCTGGAAGTGCGTGTTAAAGAACAGAATTTGACCAGGCTTAGAGGAGGAATGAATCCTACCATGAGTGAACATCCTCCCCAAGAAAATGTTCTGACTTGATTTATTCTGCTGGGGAGAAAATACAGAACTGTCAACTATTGGTTCTGGGTTTTTCTTTTCAGTGATTACAATGTTCTAAAATTAATTGTGGGGATAATGGCACAATTTTGCAAACAGTAATAAAGGCTACTGTATACAGCCTATATGGGAGAATTGCATAACATTACACTTAAATCTCAACTAAACTGTTTTCATCTTATGTTATGAGCTTCTTGTGCCTCTATGGTTGTGTTTTTAATTAACTTATCACTAAACCTGCTTATAGAAAGGACTTTGGCACATTAGTCTTTGGATGGATTAAGACAAGCTCCTAAACACTTTTCACCACGATAAGAAACCACGTGAGTAAATCACAACTGTACAGGTTTCGTGTTAATGCATGTCTGGTGTTAAGGTCAACGTTTTCTTCAGAATTGGTGAGTGGCATTAAAATTCTAAACAATGACACCTGTATTCTAAATTCGCCTACAAAGATTCCCGCTCGACTTGACACTTTACCCAGCCAAAAGCTGGCAGGTGCCTGCAACGGAGTGAACTGTCTTCTCGTACTGACTGCGTGAGAGGATGCGGCATCCAAGATGGAAAAACACCGGCCAGACGTGGAGAATCACAACAGCATCTCCGAGCAGAAGAGACGAATTCGGAGGTGATGAATTAGAGACACGGTTTACCTCAAAATGCTTTCAAAGAGGAGCCCAGTATTCAAGATTCCTTCACTGGCTGGCCATAAACATGAGCTAACAGCCGCAGCTCCTCAGGCCATCGAGCCGGCACCCGGAACCCCGCCACCGAGCCCCGTGCCCAGACACCCCAGAGGGTTCTGTGGACCTCAGCCGGCCGCCCTCGCCCCTCTCTCCCGCACACAGCACCCTCACATCTTGCTTCCGTGTCCTCTGCCTCCTACCGCCTACCCGCACCCAGTTACCTGAAAGCCACTCCGTGGCCCCGTGTTTACATTCTACTTGACCTTTGGTACCGGAAGTGGAAATGGTCCCGTCGGTAGTTTAACCCGCCTTGTCTTCCTGTACTTCCTAATTCTTTATGAAAAAGCAGGAAATCATCCGGAGACGTTCGAACAGCCTAGGGAAGCGGACAGCAGAAAGGAAGAGTTTCTTACCCGCCAGTATCTTCTACAAGATCACTGATCCCAGAAGTCACTGCGGCGCCCTAGGTACTATGGGATTTGTAGTACGCCCCGCTAGCAGCTGCCGGGAGTGGCCCACTCTGGATGGCTGGCGAGAACTAAGCCAGGCCAAGCCGTTGAGGGCCAGCGAGATGCAGAAGAAAAAACGGAGCCGAAAGTGCAAGGGAAGCGCTCCTGATTTGTTTTTGTTTGACGGGATATTTCCGCTTCCGGTGCCAAGGGGCAAACCTAGAGTTAGCTGGGACGAGGGAATTTTAATTGAGAAAATGCTTCCATATATATGGTTGGCCTGTAGGTAAATCTATGGGGATACAGTCTTGTTTAATGATTGATGTGGGAAGGCCCAACTCATTATAGGTGGTGCTGCCCCTGGACAAATGATCCCAGTAGGTATAAGGAAGCAAACTATGCAAGCCTAGATGAGCAAGCCAGTATGCAACTCTACTCCACCGCCTCATCAGTACCGTCCTACCTACAAGTTACTGTCCTGCTTGAGTTCCTGCCCTGACTTCATTCTATGATGTACAACTATAAGCTGAAATAAACCCTTTCCTCCCCATTTATTTCAGCAATAAAAACAGACGAGGGCTGATCAGTGAGTGTCAAGGCTGAACTGCAGGCTTCCTGTGAGAATCTACAACAGAGCCTGAAAATAGTACTGGGTCATTTCTTACAAGTAAATTAGCAGGTAAATGTTTTACGCTGGTTTACACTAAGGAAATCGAAAACTCCTTAAGTTTATCCATATACCTATGCTGCGAAAGGAAAGGCCCATTTTTAGAGACCACCCTTTTTTTTTCAACCCCAGCACTTAGCATTTCTTTCTGGTTAGTTATTTGTTAGGGGAAACATTGAACACTCCCCACACCTCAGTCACCAATAGGCCCACCAAATTGTTTCTCTCCCAAATGTCAAATATACCCTGGAAGATAACTCTTATCACTAACTGTCATTAAGGTCACTAATGCTGGCCTGGAGAGACAGCCTGCTGCTCTTGCAGAGGGCCTGGATTCAGTTACCCGCACTCTAACTTCAGGTACAGGGAATCTGTCACCCTCTTCTAGGTGTGAAAATCCAGGGGAATTTCACACCCCATTGCAGCCTCTACAGATGTCTGCAATACACACATACACATCAGAGAATAAAATCATTCTTTAAGACGACTATAAATTGAAGTCCCACTTTTTTGTGGAACACAACTTTTTATTTTCTTTGGAACCACTGACAAACTAATTATTCATATTTAGGTATTTAATTGATCTTTTCTTGAAATGAACAAAGCAAGGGGCTTGTGAAAAGGCTCAGTAGGTACTGGTGCTGTCTGCTGAGCTTGATGACATGAGTTCAGTCCCTAGAAGCTATCGAGTAGAAAGAGTTGTCATCTGGCTTCTATATTTGTGCTATGGAATGCAAACACACACACACACATATACACACAAACACAAAAAGAGGTTCTTTTATTAGAAAAGAACCTAAGAAATTGTTTTTACCAATGATTGTTACCAATGACAGACCTATAATCCTTACATAATCTTTTTTTTTTTTCATAATAATCTTGACAGCTTCCCAGTATGTCTAGACTTTGAGAGCAATGGTGATTTCAGTTGCAATTTTTATTTATAATTTGATTACAATTCATTAACATTTTTAAGAACTACAAAGTAGCCTGGTATTTTCAAAATGACCAGTGCTTGACTGTGGAAGCCAGCCTTTAAGGTAGGCTCAGTGTTTTGTACCCGTTCTTCATGCCTCTTGTGTCAAGAGTTGTTCTGTGACACCCCACTCTCATATTAATCACAATAGATGCTTGGTGGAGGCAGTGTTCCTCAATCTGGATGGAGGTTTCTGTGGTCACTGTAACTCTGACACACTGAGTATCCACTCAGTCCATACTTTACATCTTTTTGTCCTTTAATGTGTATGTGTGTATCTCCGGCCATCCTCAACAAGATGGTTGGAGCAGGACTTTTAGCTTGGTGTTTTGGTCACAATTGTAATGAATGGTTCACATTAGCCATATGAGTGAATAAATGGTGCTTGAGGCTCTTTTTCCTCTGCTAAGTTTCTCAGGGTACCTTAACTGTGGTGCCCTCTACTCCAGTAAAGGCTTGGCAATGTCTTCAGGTCACTAAACAGTCTCTAAATATTTGGCATTTATAACAAGTTTATTCATTCATAATTAATAGGACAGTTTAATAGATGGTATTTTCTTTTTGTTTTTTTAAGATTTATTTATTATATATGCACTGTTCTGCCTCCATGTATGGCTGCAGGCCGGAAGAGGGTACCAGATCTCATGATAGTTATGAGCCATCATGTGGTTGCTGGAAATTGTACTCAGGACCTCTGGAGGAGCAACCAGAGTTCTTAAGCTCTAAGCCATCTCTCCAGCCCTAGATAGTGTTTTCACATTAAGTTTCTTGTGCAAACTTGCAGAGAATGAATAGAAAAAAAAAAATGATTCTCTAACAGAACTTTACATGCTGCTCATAATTCTTAATGCAGCTTTCCTGTTTTAAATATTTAGAAAGCCAGCAATCCAGCAAAAGCCCCAAGAATGCAATGTGTTCTACATCTAATAGTAAGTAAATTCTAACAATGCTGGAACCCAAGGCCAGTGTTTGTGACTAGTATATTACAGCTGCTTCACCTTTTACTGTCTGCATCTTAATATTTTCTTTAGACTGTTGATTTCTAGATGAAAGTTTCTAAACAACTTTATGAAAGACAAAACTCAGTGTTTTGAGTACTAAAATATAGTCAAGCACTGTTTATATTTCAGTACATAAAAGAGCCCAGATACTCAGCTATGAACATGTGTCCCCACTACCGCCAAACCTAGATTAAACAAGAAAGACGTTGTAACGGTGAAAAATGAATTTTTTTTTCTTTATTATGCCATCTTTCCAAATCAAGGTACTCTGGGGAAACTTACATAACCCACAAAGATTGCCTACAACCAACTTACAGTTAGATTGTGGAGTTTCATTCATCTTGTCAAAGCCCACAGTGAAGGGGGGGGGGGTAGTTAAGGAGAAGAAAGATTTAGACAACATGTTTTTCTTTCATTCCCAAGATGCCACTGGAACACATACCTTACATACCCAGCCACATTATTAGTTCATTTGTGAATATCAAAGATCCAAAGGATGGTGCAAGGCAGGGAGAGAATTTATATAAAATTATCTAAAACTCCAAAACACTATAAAAGCATCTTAAGAAAAAATATAATCAAAGTAAAAGCAATGGTGTTTATTTCAGTAAAATTATTTTAAATTAGATATATTAAGCTCTCATGTGGCCCAACTTGGTAGAAAAGTTCCTTTCATGAGAAATCAATTTTAATGGCAAAATTTTTAAATATCAGCAAAATCTGTTATATTTAAAACTATGTATACAGTACTTTTCTGGCAAAAACCTTATACAGCTTTCAGTTGTCAAGACAAAGTAAAAATATGGTTGCATAAAATCACAAAAAAATATAAATTGCTGAAAAGATAATAAAAAAAAGATTAAAAATCATTTGCATTGACTCCCATTACAGTTCCAGTATAAGAATTTGCAAACTACATTTGTGAAAATTCTGTTGCAAGCTGGACAAACTTAACTGAAAGTTGTCATTTCAGATATGATAGCTTTAAAAAAAAGAATTGACTGCAATAGTTTGCATTTATCATACTATTTATACAAGTGCAATATTTAAATATTTTCAAAATAAAACTCAGTAACTAAAATGAATCAAGAATAACTTATAAAAGAAGCAAAGTTTACAAAATTAACAACTTTTAGAAGGTCCTATTTAATTGGTTCCTCCTTTTGTGCCCATTCCCCCCAACAGTTTATAGAGATACTACTTAGTTCTATTTACAAATGTGTAACTTAAAAATGCAGCCTTCTGTTCTTCACATCGGGAACACAGTGCCACATTTAGACAATGACGTCAGTAAACCCCAAGCAGAGGATATACACACAAGGTATAAATACAGTTTGGAACTCATTTAAGTGGAGTCTCCATTACTTTACACAGCATTCAAATCAGAGTTGAATAAAACAAGCCCTGAACAAAAAGAATCATAATTTTTGTTCGGAATTCAGTGCATGAACTATAGAGTAATCTTTTTGCAAGCTATCATAACCTCCAAATTAATTCCCATCTGCTTACATAAGTGCTCAACAGATTGGAGGGGGGATTTTTTAAATGAATGCAGTGGGGGGAAAATGGGATTCTGTACAGTTAGAGCTAAATATGGAAGAGCAGGCACTATCTGAAAATTACTGATTTTATAATGAATTAAAGAGATTTTTTTTTAAAGACGTTATTATTTTTAGGAGATAAGTATTTAGGGCTGGTATGTGTATCTTAACATGGAAACAGTTTAAAAGCAAACATAATCTCAAATATATGTGCATATCTATGCTTTTATACATGTGTGGGTCTAGAGAGCAAATATGACCAAACAGTAGTTGTTGGAGCTAAGCAGTAGATACACATACAATCACTATCCTCTTTCAACTTTTTAAAAAAATTCTCAGAATAAAATCAGGGCTTAAAAATCCAATCCAAGTATTCAAAGCTTATAAAAGATGTCCTTTCTATACACTGAATGGATTGATTTAAAAAATACACAATCAAATGACATTCAACACTGGTTGGCATGATAGCCAGAGGAGTCTGTGCACTGACAAGAACAACATGATTCAGTACAGGATGAGCAAATCGGCTCTTGGATCCAAAGCAGCACTTCACATACAAAACATCAGGGGGAAATCACAAAAGTAAACTTAGGGCTCAGTGTCCTGTGCGTTTGGGGGCTTACAAGTCAAAGAAAAATTTTAAATTGAGACACACATACACACACACAAAAAAAAGCATTTTAAGAGGGATATGGAAACAGTGCATAATGTTACCAGAAGTGGGAAATAGTAGCTATTTCAGAAGCTCAGGAGCCCAGAAAAACAGCATCACCTGATATGGTCTATGAGGATTCTAGGCAAACTCACCCAGTAAATTCATGAAGCAAATATAAAACACATCAACATGTAGTAATATGTGAAGGCTTTATGGTAAATTTATAGTCAACAAAGCCCTGTTACACCAAATTAAAATGGCCAAAACTCAAGTGAGCCTGAGACCTACAATCCACTGTGTACATTATGCTGTATGTACTACTGGATGAGGGACAAGAAAATGGTCCTGATTCATTTCTGCACATGAGGCTTTTAACCATCAGTCATTTTCCAATCCCTGTGCAAACTGCATTCCAAAAGGCCAATCCTTAGTTATAATTATATATATATAACTTGGTAAGTGGAAGTGTTTGGCTATTACTTATTATGCATGCTTATTGCATCAAAGAAATAAGCAAAGTTTTAGGTTTACTGTGCAAGAATTTTAATTAGATTTGCACACATTTCAAAAAATTCTATTGTGTGACTTCCTGGTCTTGGAGCTAAGTCAACAGGAGAAGAATCGAGGGAGGTCACAGATGAGGTAAGAGAAACTTCTGAGGGCTTGCTTTGAGCCTCAGCATCGGAGTCGCTCCTTTGGCAAGATCGATAGTTACTGATGGATCCCGATCTCTGTGGAGTAGCAGTCCCTGATTTGGCTTCTGTAATTTCATCTGGGTGAAAAGAACATCAACATTTTATTATCTCTTTCCCCCTCAAATGTTTAAGCAACACCAATCAGCTTCTTCTAAGTGAGACTACTGACCAACTCTCCACAAAGCGTATTATTGTTTTCCATTAAAAGCACAGAATCACCAGGCGGTGGTGGCATATACCTTTAATCCTAGCATTTGAGAGGCAGAGGCAGGAGGATCTACAGGAGTTCCAGGACAGCCTGGTCTACAAAGTAAGTTCCAGGACAGCCAGGGCTACAAAGAGACATCCTGTTTAAAAAAAAAAAACAAAAACACAGACTCAATCATCTGAAATATGGAAGGTATCTTGGAAATTATCTCACCCAGAATCAGGAAGATTCAGTCATTTAAGCACATTCCCCTCCCGACCTCAGTTCAGTGCTTTTTACTCTGCAGTTTATTTTTTACTCTTATCGTTCATTTATGAGCATAAACGAGCAACTCCAAGAAGCAAAATCAGAGAAGCTGGGCCTAGTGGTACAGGCCTTCAGTCCCAGCTAGTTGGAAAACTGAAACAGGCAGATGAGAAGTTCAAGGCCTACCTGGGCTAGGGAGGTCAAGCACAACCAAGGCAACCTGTGAGACCTTCCCTTCAGATAAAATGCAAAAAGGGAGCTCGGGGAGAAGCTGGTTTCTCTACCTAGTCTCACAGAAATAATACTAAAAATAACAGCAAAGAAAAACTCAGAACAAAACATAAGCAGAAATAGAAATAGAGAAATGGTGAATATACATTCAGTTAGCAATTCCAAGAGCTGATATAACTAAGATTGCAAAGTACTCTAAATACCAAGAGAAAAATAAAACCCATTCCTGATTTCAAGCTATACTAATGTGTGTTAGCTGAGCACACCTGTAACCCAGCACTTGGAGGGAACGAAGAAGACTACTATCCCTTCAAAGCCAGGCCGGACTACAAAGAAGACCCTGCCTAAAGAATAAATAAATAAATATAGATACATACATACAGAGAGACAGACAGACATGGATAGATACATATATACATATATAGCCAGTCAACCAAGCAGACCATCAGGTTAGCCAATGTATATCACACCTCAAGCCTGTCTCTCTCACATAATCTATACATGATATCTTTGAGTCTAGAAATAATAATTCTAAATATCTTCTCATACATACTGGTATAACTTGATTTGGAAGAACAGGCATAATGTTCTGTCTGCATACAGACCTGCACACCAGAAGAGGGCACCAGATCTCATTATAGATGATTGTGAGCCACCATGTGGTTTCTAGGAATTGAAGTCATGACCTCTGGAAGAGCAGCCAGTGCTCCTAACAACCTCTGTGCCATCTCTCCAGCCCAACTCTATAATTTTCAAGTTTTTATAGGACAACAGTCATTTTCTACTTTGAGAGAAATGGTGATGGTGACTGAAGCCAGTGTTTTGAGTATGCTAGACAAGAACTTCACTGGCTTATTGGCCAGTAACTCTAGCCTAGAGGGCAACCTCCTGTTTGGAGACAGGCCTTGTCTCAAAAGTAAGATGGAACATGACAGAGGAAGGCACCTGACATTCACCTGTGCAGCCCTTCCCATGTACAAATGGGTGAGTACACTGAAACACAAATGTGGAGGAAGAGAAGGAGGGAGAGGGGGAGGGAGAGAATGAAGGAGGAAAGGACAGGCCATACTGAAACTTATTATTTTTCATGCTTAGTTTTAATAAAAAAAAATTTTTTTTAAATACTATAAACCAAATTAGGTAGCCAGGCGTAACATATGACCTCCATGGTTTTGTGTATACATACCATCAATACTACGGAAATCCAATAAGTAAGTCCTGCTATCCACTTGGTATAGCTGTAGACTCATTTTGGAAAATGTGCTTGTCACAGGATTCTTCCTTCGTACGCGCAAATAATAGGGGTTTACAACCTAGCATTTGACATGGACAAAAACAAAGGCAATCAAGTCAGAACTTCTATAAAGGAATTTTGTCTACAGGTTCCTTTAGACAGAAGGTTAGTTAGAACCCTTGCCTTCTTACCTTCCATTCATAATCCAACTGCTTGATTGCTCTACATACTTCTGCCATGATATCATTTGGTCGACTTTGACTTCTAATTCCCAGATGCCACTTTGCTTTCCGTACACCTTGGTGTTTGGATTTCTGCGGGTTTAATTCATCAAGGGTATGGCGTGCCCGTGGTGTTTCAGCAACCAAGAATGGCACTCTTTCAGGATGGGGCCGAGTTAAATGGTGATCATCAAGGAAAGAATCAGGTGGGCTTGTTGCCAAGTAGAAGTCTTTGGCTTCATTCATTATTCTCCTGTTGTCTATGATGAGGTGGTAGGCAACTGCCAATGGGTCCTGGTGATTTCTGTTGTACAGGCAGCTGAGAACCTCCTCTTCTGAGCACTCAAACTTTTCACACACTTCCTTTAAGGCCTCATCATCAATCATGGTTGAACTATATGATGGATCCTCAGGAAAGAGGTATTTTGGAAGGTCCTGTTTAAACCATTCATGTTCCCTGCGAGAAACAACAGTGTTGGAAAAAAAAGATTTTGAGTAAAACCAATAATAAAAGTAATGCGTTTCAGAAGTTTAGGATATTACACTTAATTTACATTTGTAATCATAGTATATTACTATAGTTCTTTAAACTGTTTTCCTCTTCTAGCTCATACTTCATTGAGTATATTGAGAATAATGTTCTAACCTGCTGCTAGTTTTTAACAACTGATGCAGCCAAATGAAAAGTTATGTATATGTACTCAAATGACAATGACAAAGTACATTTCTTTTCAGCTCAAAAAGAAATTACGTTGTGTGGCTTCAGAGTTTACACTGTTTCATGTTTCATGAAAAGAACTTCCTAACAAAAACAGTATGCAGTATCCTATGAGTTGTTACTGAGAGCTTAGTTCCATAAGCAAATCATACATGTAAAATCTATGCCCATCCTTGCAACCCAGTTCTGTGTGCCTTAAAAGGCCATTCTGATTCGTTTCCTATTATGTGCTGTAATTCCACATATGAAAGGACACATCAAGAACTGTAGTAGAACTTAAACAGCAGGCTCCCAGGTCTGCACCTGCATCGCCATGGTCAGCGTTTTCTACCCCATTTTAAGGATGAAAAATTACCTCAAACATACACAAATATACTTTCAGTTAGATATTTTACACCATCAATTTCACAGAATGAGTTTCCCTTTCCCTGTGGAGCTGAAGCCATGCCACTGCAGGTCTCCTCAGGAGGTGTTTGTTTGTACGACTTTTGTACGACTCTCTACATAGTCCTGGCTGTCCTGAACTCACTATGTAGACCAGGCTGGCCTTGAACTCAGAGATAACCCTGACTTCACCTCCCAAGTGCTGGGATTAAAGGCATTTGCCACTACACCCACCTTCAGCAGGATTTCTAGCATAAGGAGTAAGTGGAAAGGCATGAAGCTAAAAGTCACATATAATCTTATTCCTGATTACACTAATGCTTTTTTATTACTCCTATATTACTTGTATTTCTTTCTTCCTCCAGAATCAGAAAAATGTGTAGTCTGGCCATCAGAAAATCAAAGAAAAAAGGAAAACAAAAATTAAGGGAAGAGGGATGAGTTAATATTGATGGCAGAACAAAGTCTCCAGGGAGTACTGAGTGTTCTTAAAAAACAGCTCACCTCAACTTGAGAAGCATAGCCATCACCATCAGTTATGCCTCTAACTATCAGGTTCAACCACAATATACAACATTACCTATAAAACTCAATTTCCTATAGCTCAAAGTATGTTACTAGAATAAAAATATATCATTAAGAAAATGAAATTTTTCTCATGTCTTGAGATTGAAAAAGGTAGAAAAATAAGTTGGTTTAAAATCACCTGATATTGCCAGACAGTGGTAGTACACGCCTTTAATCCCAGCACTTGGGTGGCAGGGGCTAGCCTGGTCTACAGAGCAAGTCCCAGGTCAGCCAGGAATACAAAGAAAAACTGTGTCTTGAAAAACAAAACATAAATAAAGGAAAGAGAGAGGAAGAGAGGGAGAAATTACCTGATGTCTTTTATTGTAGCCCTCTTCATGGGATCTACCTGCAACATATGCTTCAAAAGGCTGATTACAGAGGGATTTAAATACTGAGGGGTATAAAAAATCCCATCACATATCTTCTTAAAAAGAGTTGGCACATGGTCATCATCAAAGGGGAGGGTTCCACACAGCAGAGCATAGAGGATGACCCCACTGCTCCAGATGTCCACCTCGGGGCCTGCATACAGTCTGGACAGGGAATGCCAACGCATTAGCTACAGTCTCAGGAAGCATTAACTAACATTCTTCAAATGAAAGTATTTTATGAAGAATACAAGAAAACAATATTTAAAGAAATCAATGGTCAGAACATACTATTTATACCAACTGCTGCACAATAAATTATGAACCATGGATCAAACTGTTTCACTACCTTACTATGATCCTCAAACTTTCCTACCAATAAGGCCAAACCTGGAGCCATCATAAAAAATGTTGAATTTGCCTAGAGAGATAAAATTCTCCTTTATAATAAATGTGTGTGTGCGCGCGTGCACTCATGTACATGCCTGTGTGTGCCATGTATATGTTTGTGTATCTGCCATGGTGACTGTGGAGATGACAGGACAACTCTGTGAGGTCAGTTCTTTCCTTCTGCCTTTACAAAAGTTTCAGGGATTGGACTCCAGTCATCACACTTGGCAGCAAGCATTTTACCAGCTCAGCCATCTCACTGGCCCCAATTAAACTCTGTAGTGACAGATTCTGAACTTTTTTCTCCCATTCCTCCTAAAACTCTCACAAGTTCAAGGACCTTGAGGCTGCAGATACAAGCCAAGCTAAGTGGAGGTCACAGAATACTTGAAGCTTCTGTTTGAAGCACTCTGTGGACAAATATCAGAACTTTACCTGCAAACAAGTTCAACCCTCCATTCAAAGTCTGGCTTTAACAGGGAAGTACATCTTTAAAATGACAAATTACTATAAATATCAATCAACACTTTTTTGAAAGTAAGTGTTCCTATTCACCCAGACATCAAAGAAAGACTATCCAAAGCAAACAAATCACATTTCCCTAATGGTCCATTTTATGTATGCCTGGTAATAATGGATCACTTTTTTATTTATATTCCCCATAGTATCTAGGTCCTGAATTTTTTCATACCAAAGGAATTAAGATAGAAAACACGTGCAAAAAATTTTTAATTCACCTAATAATCTTTTGAGTAGTTAAACTTATGAAAATAGAAAATACTACAGTATTTTTGTATTAGGTCCATCAACATTTGAAACATTTAAACAAAGAAAAGTGGTTTGAGTGGATGGTTATTAACATAACAATAAACACTAGTGAATAAACGTAAGCTGCTCAGCTTTCCTCTCATTAGGGTTTCAATAGGAATGACAAAGCGCTGTCTTTCTCTTTGATTTTTCTCTCGGTTTGTGTTTGTTTTTGCAACAGCATCTTACTTTATAGCCAAGCTGGTCCTGCCTCACTATGTAGCCTGCACTGGAAACAAACTCGCATCAGTCTGTCTGTCTAACCTCCTGAGTAAACTGTCTAGAGCGGTGCACCACCAAGCCTGGCCAAAGTGTTGATTTTAAAAATTAAATCCTTTGGACTGGAGAGATGGCTCAGCCATCTGTTCTTACAAAAGCACCTGGTTCAGTTACCAACACCCACACAGGGCGGTTTACAACTGCCTGGGGCACTAGCTCCGAAGGGTGGAAGCGGAGGCTTTGACCTCTGTTGGCACCTGCATACACATACATACACACACAGGACTTAAAGTCTGTTTTTTGAATTAAAGTTTACAACTTCTGAGCAACTCTCTTATCCCAGCTTAATACCCCACTTCCAAATTTGGGAGTGCCTCTTTCTTAACAAACTATTTCTGTCACTAAAAAATGAAAAGAACATTCTTGAGCCAATAATGAGATAAAAGAAAAAATAAATTTGTTTTCACACTACTTAAAAAGCTACCTTATGAAAAATATATGCATATACATTTTTTAATGTACACTGGTGTTTTGCCTGCATGTATGAGGGTGTCAGATCTTGGAGTTACAGTTGTGAGCTGATGTGTAAGTGCTGGGTTTTGAACCCAGATCCTTTGGAGGAATAGTCAGTGCTCTTAACTGCTGGGCCATCTCTCCAGCAACCCTACTATTTTCAATGCTAGCTGGTAATTCAGTGATCAGCATTTTGTTGTTGCTTTGTTTTGTTTTTTGAGACAGTTTCTCTGTATAGCCTGGCTGGCCTAAACTCCATTTGGAGACCAGGCTGGCCTTGTCGTCGCAGTGATCCACCTGCCTTTGCCTCCCTGAGTGCTGGGATTAAAAGCCCACACCACCACACCAGGCAAGTTCAGCTTCTTCTACTGCAGTCTGGCAGATCTGGATCTAGACGGAACAAAAGTGAGGCTTTCTTCTTCCTTCTCCCTTTTTATATCCTCTCGCCCTTCCGCCACCTCATTTTGTCTTGATCCTGGGTCTGCCTATACAGTCCTGCCTCAGCATCCATTCGATGCTCAGGTTATAGTCATCAATTACATCCAGCCAGTCTGGTTTTAGGAAGATGAATTTTTTAATTCATTTCCTAAGACACAAGTGCTTTCCTCATAAAACAGGAAGCTACTACATAAATGCCATCTATTTGATTAATTATGAGACTATCCCTTACATTATACTTGTAACTCTTCTGCTTTCTGTATGTTCTGTTCCGTTTTTTTTTAAGATAGTGTCTTGATAGGTAGCACAGAATGACCTCACGCTCTCAAGTTCTAGAATTACAAACGTGGACCTCTTGTAATGCCTGGCACATGACATTTTTATTTTTTGTCTAGGTAAACCATTCCTCATGAGTAAGTATTTCAATACTCGGGGTCTCAGTGACTTGCCTATCTACCTTTACAACTGACTAGCTTTAAATTCTCCCACCAGACAAAAAAATTAAAGTACTTCATTCTAACTGCTTTAGCATGATTAGCAAACCAACATTCTATAAATGTATTTGTTAATTTACCCACGTTTTTAAGATTTTTTCGTTTTATTAGTGTGTGTGCATGCACGTGTGTGTGTGTGTATGTGTGTGTGTGTGTGTGTGTGTGTGTGTATGTGTGTCAGTGTGCATATGCACACATGTCTGAAACAGCTTGCAGAAACCAAAAGAGAGATTGCATCTCCTGGAGGTAAAGTTGCAAGTAATTGTGAGCCATCTAAAACGTGGTTGCTGGGACCCAAACCCCAGCCTTCTGGAAGAGTTACAAGTGCTCTTAACCACTGAGCCATCTCTTCAGCTCTGTGTATTATTCTTAAGATAGAAAATCTGCAGGCAAGAAAACACCTTTCCTTTCCTTCATTAGTATTCAAGACAACACTTTCAACTAACAAAATCTAAGAGAAATAAGCAACTATAAATACATCAAAAGCAGCATTATGTCAAATACTACCTTCCTGAAATTACTTCTGGTGCAGCATAATTGGGTGAGCCACAGCTTGTTCTTAAAAATTCACCATCTGACATCATGTTTGAAAGACCTAAAAAAAACAAAATACAGACACTCAAGATTTCCCTAGGACAAGAAGAAAATTAAAGCCCACTAAATAACACAGCTAAGTTATACAAACTTATTTAACAAGATTGGCCACCACTTATTCTTTATTTGCTTTAACAGGTCATAGCCTTTATTTCCCAAATAGGCTGCCCTTATACAAAAATGTACAATGTATTTCAATGTCAAGAGTTTAATGAGTATATACTAAACTGCATTTTAGGGCTGGCAGGATGGCTTAGAAGGTAAAGGTGCTTACCACTAAGCCTGACAGCTTGGATTCAATTCCTAAGACCCACATGGTAAAAGAACAAAAATACCCCCAAAAGCTGTCCTCTGACGTGTGTATGAGGAAGAGGAAGAGAGAGCACAAAATAATTAAATCTCTTTATACTCAAGTTTGAGTACATAAGATTAAGAGAATAACTTACTGTTCTCCCTCTTATAGACTCATTTGTCGAATGGGATTCTCAGCAAACCCCATAAACACTATTTGAAGACTGTTACATATACTCATTAAAGAGCTTAAACTGTCCTTACCAAAGTCAGCTATCTTTGCATTCATGTGTGCATCAAGCAGGACGTTTTCAGGTTTCAAATCTCTGTGGACCACCATATGCCTGTGACAATAATCCACACCAGAAAGGATCTGTTGGAACAGACGTCGGCTTTCCTTTTCATCCAACTAGGAAAAGTAGAGAAGGATTTTAAACTGTGCCTTTCAATGGAAACTTTCCTACTTATAATTCTCCAGCTTGTAAACTGCCAAAGCATGAAACCTTCCAAGGGAACATCACCCAGGAGGTACTTTTGAAATGGGGAAGGAATGCATGCAACAACCGACAAACCAAGAGGTTATGGGGACCCAAAGCAGCAGCACAACTTTCTGATCCTATCATCTGCATAGACCACACTTAGAAACCCACCTTCTTCTGTGACTCATGGGCATTTCTAGTAGTTTCAACTTCTATGTGAAACTAGGCATGTTTTCAACTTTAAGTTTGTGTTGTTTAACCCTTAACTTTTTTAATATTTACTGAACCCATTCAATATACTATACAGGTCAGACATTATAACACAGAAATAAATGAAAGGCCCTACTCTAGTTGACCAAAGGCAAAAAAAAAAAAATTGGCTAACAATGGGGAGAAAAACATCACAGAGTAATACAGAAAAGTGTTCCATAGGGTAGATCCAAACCAACAGCCAAACAGGTGCTCCTAATCAAACTTAATGGATGACAAAACAAAAGTCATGCAAGTAAGACAGGGACTTGTAGGAAGGCGGGGTGGGAGTGGGGATGACAGGAGTGGGACAGAGATAAGAGGATAGGGAGTGAGAATAAACAGAATGCACATAAAACAGGATGAAGGTGTCAAGGAACAAATATAATCCATAAGAAAGGAAAAGAATGAATACAGAAAGTGATGTTGGATGGGGGTCTATTTTACATTATAAAGAAGTGACAGGTAAACATTGTAAATGAGCTGCAACACAACAACAGCCTGTGCTCTGAAATTTAAGATAATTTTTAAGGTGTGTGTGTGTACACAGCTGCATACAGGAGCCTACAATGACAAGAATTCTGAGAATGTTGTATCCTCTGGATCTACAGTTGAAAACAGTCTTAAGACACCCCATATGGGTGCTGGGGACAAAATTCCAGAACACTGAGAAGAACAGCAAGCCCTCCTAACTGCTAAGCCATCTCTTCAGGCCCAAGATGTTTTCATTTAAACAAAAGAAAATCCTTAACACATTTACCTTTTGCATGTTTACTGAAAAAAGAAAAACCCTTACACTACAATTAAAATTTTTAAATTTAATCTTCAAAAATAATCTTCAAAAATCTCCACATTTTCAGACATTTGCTCAACGAATGATAACCACTACTGTTTTACACCTGCTCAAGGACAGCGCATTTACTAAATAAGCTGCTATTCCCTCCGCAAGGATTTTCACACAAAATTCTCCGGTAGGTCAAATAAGTTAGCATTCTAAATCCAGAATTCTACACCTTCAATGCATGAATAATTTGGGGACAAAGATAAACCAGCCATTTCTTTGAATGCAGAATTAAAACCACTAATAAAGTATTGTAAGATACCCTTACTCAGGAAAAATACATTAATACTTTTGCAAACTAATACCTTTATTTGTTCCAGTAGATGTTGATAAGGAAAATTATGAAAGAGGGAGAGAAAATCTAACAAATAATAAGTAAAATAACTAGAAAGGTGAAAAGTATTTTGTTTATAAAAATATAGTACAAAGAATGGCAGAGACTAAAGGGAGATGAATCAAGTCAAAGTGTTATTTCCAGCTGCTAAACATCACACATGCAGTCTTTTGTGCCACTTCCTGAAACTGCCGTAGGATGCTATCAGTAATACACAAGGCCCATACAACAAAAGGACGGAGAGACAACACCCATAAAGAGTTTGTGGACAGCAGATAAAGACTCAGCAAAAAGAGAGAAAAGCAAAACCAAAGCCTAGAGGAAGAAATAAACACATCTGCATATGGAACCCTGAAAAAGCTAAGGAAAGAGTTGCAACAGTACTTTCTGAGAGAGAGTGTGGGGTGGCTGGAAACAAGACAGCTGGTCTCTAGAAAGCTTTAAATTCCCCGCCGATGGGGAGTAAGACTTCTGGCTACTCAAGCAAGGCGAAGCCAGATGATTCTCACAGGTACCATGGCAGGGGTACTGCAAGCAGGATAGAGACTAAGTGACAACCAGCATACTAACAGAAGAGACCTCACCTCACCTCCCAACTCAGTTCCAACAGCTAAGCAAATATCTTCAGGAAGAAAGGAAAAACCAAACACCAAATCAAAGAGGAAAGAAATACTTCTGATTGTTAGCAAATGATTCGCCCTACCAAAAGCAACAAGATTCCAACAACTCAACAGGCGAAAGCCACCAGTCAATAAATCTCACACATATATGAGCCTGGCATCTGGTACATCATTTGAAACTTAAATGGACAGCCACGAATCACCAGATATCTGAGGGGAAAAAAATAAATAAATAAAAGACAAATAAAATGAGCAGGAAAAAAAGAGGAGGTGAGCAGAAAGCACAGAAAACAGAACAGTGCAGGAGCGAAAAGACAATTCAAACCAAAAGCTGATCAGGTTACATCTGTGCAGGCAAACAAGCAGCCAGCTAAAGGGAATTTCAGAAATAAGGCAGAGATCTGAGATTTAAACACGTGACAGCTCAACGTGCAGCATCCAAAAGGTAAAACTAAAGACAGCCCCACAATGTAGTACTAAATGACTAGAAATGAGAAACAGGAGAAAAAAGATAAGAAAAGAAGGCATTGGTTAATTTAGGAAGTATTCCCCTAGGGAATAGGAGTGGGGCCTTGAAAGATGAGAAAGGAATACTTTAAAGATAAATTAACCATGATGAGAAATAAGTAAAGATTAACTTGGTTAATGAGTTTGATTCTAATTAAAGAAAAGAGATACACTATGTAAATTGAATGAATAATGCAAATAACTTCAGACTGAAAGTTCCTTTTCAGGCAAGTTCTTTTCTCAGTGCCAGATGTGGGTCTTTTAGAAGGGCCTTATGCAAATCAGATAATATAAGGGTAAGCATGGGCAAGGGACAGTGCCCTGCATTTATATTTATTACTTAAAAGCCTCCAAAGTTCCTTCAAACACTAAATTCTTTAAGTCTAATTCCTAACTCCTTCAAAAAGCTTGTTTCTTACTACTCCAGGTATACCAGAGTTCCGAAACCAAAAAATGAATACAACTACACGTGGCCAGGGTTGAACAGCAAGGCCTCCATCTTTAAATACTTAATAATATATGTTGTAAGGAACACTTATAATGTTTAGGAAGCGTACTAAAAGTGCTTGCATAGGTTGGGCATGCCTTTAATCCCAGCACTAGGGAGACAGAGGCAGGGAGATCGCTATACATTGGAAGCCAGCCTGATCTTGCATTGTGAGTTCCAGGCCTGGCCCCAAGATGACATAGTGAGACCCTGTCTCAAAAAAGAAGAAAAGAAAAGAGAAGGGGAAGGGAGGGGAGGAGAGGGGAGAAAAAAGAAGAGAAAAGAAAAGGAGAGAAAAGAAAAGGAGAGAGACAGAGAGAAGGAAGGAAGGAAGGAAGGAAGGAAGGAAGGAAGGAAGGAAGGAAGGAAGGAAGGAAGGAAGGAAGGAAGGAAGAAAAAAGTTTGTATACCTCAAAACATAAATCTGAGGATTTGAGGATTATGAATTTTGGGGACTTAAATGAACTCTATCAGTAATAGATCATGTGACCCTGAACAAATATTTAACAAATAGGCTCAATATCCATGTCTCTGTAAGTGGGCTCGGGATCATTGCTAAGGTCCTTTCTCTCTAAATAGGCTATGATTCTAAACAAATATATGACGAAGGGAACCTATTACTAAACAGACCTCTGAAAATTGCTTTCTGACATTTTAATGCAATAAGGGGTACAGGAAGTTACAAAATATGTACAGGATTAAATGAGAACTGCTTACCCTTCCATTTTTACAGATATAATCAAATAGCTCTCCTCCTGAGACATATTCCATCACCATGAAAATATCAGATGGTGTACTGATGACCTGGTACCTGGTGAGAGAAAACATTATCTACTAATATTAAAACATGTGTATTCATTCATTCAGTAAAGAGTCACTGAGCACCTATAATATACCAGGTACTGCACTAGATGCAAGGAGACTGGGGGGGGGAACAAAGCCAATCTCCTGTTTTTGTGATGTTCTTGCTCCAGGCGCCAGGAAGCAGACAATAAATAAGCATTATCTAGAGGCAAATCATGCGTTGAAGCAAAGAAAGCAAATGCTTCTGCTATACAGAGTTCTCTAGGAAGGCCACCAAGTACACCTGAGCAGAGCCTAAGGAAGGAGCAGACTAAATTACCCGGACAAAGGTGACCCGTGCAGAGGCCAGGGCCGAGGTAGGTGACCCGCACAGAAAGACAGCAAAGGCCAGGGTGGAGGTAGGAGCCTGCTTGGAATGCTCATGGTAAGGCAAGAGCAAAACAAGCTGCTAGAGAAACAGACGTGACATCAGTCACTGGAGGCCAGAGATGGAGAACTTCACAAGCCAGGAAGAGACATTTGGCTTTTAGTTAACGGAATATGAAAAGCTATGGGATGGTTTTGTGCTAGTCACGTTATTTGCATATTCAAGAGTAAGCAGCAGCGGTCCATGCGAAGAACTGACTGAATGCTGAGAAGCCCAGGCTGCGATAGCAGTCTGTGAGAGGAGAGGTGGTTCAGACCAATGGGATGGTGATAAAGGGCTGAGGACCAGATCAGAGATACATTCTGAAGGAAGAGATGGAATGATGGTGGGAAGAAGGACAAACGGGACTGTTAATGATGCTCCTAAGTTTCCACCCAGGGGGAGGGGAGGAGTTAGGTGGCAATTAACTGCAACGGTGAGAACAATGTGGCAAGCAGATCTGAGGAGGTGAGAGAGATGAGACTTGACCAGCTCCTTTGAAACACCATGTGGACATCCCAGTGAGGATATAAAGTAAGCAGCAGGCACAGGGCCCAGAGGACAGAGATGGGGTCTCAAAGCAAGAAGTGCATGTTTAGGGACCATCGGCATATGTGATATATGTCAAAACACCTTAATAAAGGAGAGATAAAAGCAAAACAATTTTTGAGACAGCCAGTTCACCAGAAAAGTCCAAGCAGCTTTAAATTATGGCCTACATGGTAACATAGTGGTAAAAAAAATAAGTTAGCTGTAAGCCTCACCATGGTAACCATTAGGATGACTGTTCTCCTGAAATACTACATTCCTCAAAGTCTGGTATGAATATAGTCAAGTACAAGCAAAGTTCAGAAAAATCATTTCTAGTGCACAGTCTCTCATGAGCCTAATTCCCAGCATGTAGAAATGTGCAATTTGTACATCAAGAATTTTTTGCTTTTTTTTTTTTTTTTTTTCCTTTCAAGTGGTACTCGAGACCAAACAGGGCCTGGCACCTGCTACAGAGTGTTTGACTAGAAAAATCAACAGTTGGTTCTATACATAAAAACAGAAGCACAAAGTGTTATCAAAAGGGCCTTTGTCCAGACAACAGGAAGGACAAGAATAAGCGTGATATGAACCACGTTAAAACACGAGGGCAGCCTCTGCAATTGGCAGTGAACCGGGGTTCGGTGCTGGAGCAGGAAGAAACCTCCAGCCTCGGAAACAGGAAGAAGGCCAGGCCTCTCTCTGCTTTGCCAGGTTAGGCATGTAACGAAGGAAAGAGCAGGTAGTGGTTAATGAGCAGGGCTTACAGTTTGATTATGTGGGGGTGCCTGAAAAGCTTCAGGTTCTGAATCTCTCTACGGATCTTTCCAACCACATCAAGGCTTCGGATCTTCTGCCGGTTGAGTATCTTCACAGCGACTTTGTGGCCGGTCAATTCATGCTTGCCCACTACAGGGGAATAATTTCAATATGTTAGTACCAGGTTTGCTTGATAATATGCTCTGGCATGTTGTAATAGTAAGCTAAGCACTCTGAGAAAATACTTTGCTCCCCCACCCCCGTTATACCCCTGAAAGTTTAGGCTTAAGGCAGGAGGAGACATACAAAAAGAACTGTTTGATAAGAGAGGTTTTGGGGGAAAAGAAAAGCTGGAACAGTTATGAGAGAAATAAGAAAAATTATTTCCTCTTCTGCGTGCCTACAGGTACTCAAATTCTTTTAACTTCCTATTCATTAACTACTGTACATATAAAATCAAACTCTCCTTGTGCCACTTTCTACAGCTGTTCACAGACAGAGAGACTGGTACCCATTAAATCATATGATAAGAATCCAGACATGATAGCTTATTCCTGGAATCCCAACAGGAAGAGGCAGAAGCAGGAAGACTTGAGAACTTAGGGCAGGCCTGCGCTACGTGGTAACGCTGTGACTCAAAACAACAAAAACAAAAAATCGTATGATATAGAATAGTTCCATCTTCCCCTTAGAAAATGGCATTGCAGGGCTAGGGAGATGGCTCAGCCAATCTGCACGAATAAAAGACGCTAAATTCAAATTCCCACAACCCACACTTAAAAAAAACAAACCAAAAACCTAGCATGATACATGCCAGTAAGCCCAACAATGGGAGAAAGAGGGCAGCTGGGCAGACATGGGGATCACTGGGACTTCCTGGCTAATTACCTAGCTCCAGTTCCAGTAAGAGCTCTTTTCTCAAGGCAGTAAGGCAGAAAATTATAAAAGCAGGCCACGTCCTCTGGCCTGTCATGTGCACATACAAAACACACACACACACACACACACACACACACACACAACGAAGTAAATAAACTCCCCTGTGGCACTGGGATGCTTCCCCTATCATTATCAGTCCCTGTGATTTCCATGTTGTCTTTGTTTTGTTTTGTCTTTAGTTTTGGCTCCCGGGCATGCAACTTACATTTTCAAACAGGTGATTTTAGGCTGAAAGGATGGCTCTGTGGTACCAGTTCAGCTTCTAGAGGACCCAGGTTCGATTCCTGGCACCCACATGATGACCCACAACCATCTACAACTCCAGTACCGGGGACACAATAACCTCTTCTAGCCAGCTTGGGCACTAGCCACACACAGATATATGTGTAGAAAGCACTTATGCACATAAAAATAAATAAACCATGTTTAAAGAGATTGTCTTGTCCAATGCTATGCCCACCCAGACTATCAATGGGCACAGAAAAATTCAGATACTTCTAAGAGTGTACCCTTTCTCAGGAACCAGTCTAGGAGAGAATATAGATCCTATCAAAATGAGAACAGAAAACAACAACAAAATAGACATAATGTCTAATTAACAAGAGCTCTGAAAGCCGGGCACAATGGCACATGCCTGTAATCCCAGCACTCAGGAGGCAGAGATGGGCGGATCTCTGAGTTCGAGGTTAGCCTGGTCTGGAAAGCTAGTCTAGTATAACCAAGGCTACGCAGAGAAACCCTATGGAGGGGAAGGAGGGAGGGAGAGGGAGAGAGGGAGAGGGAGAGAAAGAGAGAGAGAGAGAGAGCGAGCTCTAAAAGCTAAGTGTGCTGGCTCGGGCTTATCTTCCTAGTCTTGGGAGCACTGCTGCTAGTTACAGGCCAATAAGACAGGCACACTGACACAAAAAGCAAACAGACAGGTGTGGTAGTGCATGCCTAAATTGCCAGCATATGAGAAGAGACAGGAGTTTATGGTCATCTTTGACTACAAAGATACCTCAAGACCAGCCTCAGTGACATAAGACCCTGTTCCCAAGAGTCCACCCCCCCCCCCGAAAAAAAAAAAATAAACAGGAATCCAACCCAGCCAGAAAATCAAGGGAACAGACATCCTGGTCTAGACAGTAGCAAATTCAGGTAAAACAACAGAGGGGCCAAGACAGTTATTTTGAGGAAACAGAGATAATCCTAAACCTTTAAAAGTATGAAATATTAAAGCCTGGTGTGGTGGCACACATCTTTAATCCAGGGCTACATCATGAAACCCTGTCACAGAACACCAGCAAGAGAAAAGAAAAAGAAAATAATCTACCGTGTTAGTTAAGTAATTTCTATTTTTGCAGTCATAGGGCCTAAACTTCATCACAAACAACCCAGTCTTCTATTAGGGCCTGCTCCATTGAATATCAGCACAGGTAACACAAGTAAACAATTGAAGGCTGGGGAGAGGGCTCACTACACAAAGGCAGCTGTTGCCAACCTGACATTCTGAGTTTGATCCCGGGGTCCATAGAGTGGAAGAAGAGAAATGACTCCCAGCTGCCACCCTCCCACAAGCACACTGGGGCACAGAGCCCTATATACACATATGTACACATTAGTAAACGTTTTTCAAAAACAGCTGAGGCTCACCCAGAACAGTAGGTATCATTTCTTTTTCATCAACTAAGGACCTAGGGTAGGAGGCTCTGAGAATTCCCTTTGACTCATTTGGGATTATGTACTTACATTTCTTATAAACCAAGCAGCCAGCCTAGTCCATGAGTTCCAGGCCAGTGAGAAACCGTATCTCAATCCCAGCAACTGAAGAGGGGGAGAGGTTGGCGGGCCAGCCTGGTCTACATAGTGAGTTCTAGGCTGCCCAAGGCAACATACGTGATTGAGACCCTCTCTCCAAGCCAAACAAACACAAAAAACAAGGTGGACCCTGCCAGGAGAACAACAGCTTACACTGACCCCTAGACTGTACACACACACACACACACACACACACACACACACACACACACACACACGCACTGCAAGTAAAAACAGATATATGCACATACACATACACAAAAAGCAGTCTGAGTGGTGTCACACACCTGTAATCCCGGCACGCAGGGAAGCAGAGGCAGGTGGATCGCTGGAAGCTTGAGGCCACCCTGGTCTACAAGGTGACTCCAGGTCAGCCAAGGCTACAAAGAGAAGCCCTGTCTCGAGGGAAAAAAAAAAAAAGTCTGAGACAGGAGGTCTGCCATGAGTTCAAGACCAACTGTGGCTAAGGTGTAAGACCATTTCTAAAAAATAAATTCTGGCATCACTCAGTAGGTAAGGTTGTTTGCTGACAAGCCTGATGACCTGAGTTCAATTGCTGAGACCAATATAATGGAAAGAAAGAACCAACTCCTCAAAAGTTGTCCTATGACCTCCACTAACACAGTATAGCACACAGCCATACACATGTACACACATGCACACCTACACACATGCACACACCTACACACACACACACACACACACACTATTTTTTTTTTAAGAATACAGGGATACAAAGAGCACAATGAGACTTCTACAACAGAACAGTTCAAGTCATTTCGAAGGCAGTAAGACAAAGCAATGATGTGACACCATTTTATGGTCAGATACTAAAAACCGAGACTTTAACAACAATGAAGGTCACCAAGCGGTAAGACTCAAGGACATAATTTCAGTAAGGAGAGTAGTATTTCGCCTGCAAACACTAGAAGTCCCCCTCTTAAGGAGGCAACATGAATGAAGCCAATATCCAATCAAACACATACTTGAGCATTTCATCAAACTATAAATAATTAGGACCGTGGAGATTTAAGTTCTCACTTTCAAAACAACTCAAGAGGGCTTTCAGTGGGTAAAACGCTCCAAGCGGGAGGGAGGACCTCAGTTCAACCCCCAGATCTCACATATATGGAAGGTGAGAAAAGACTCCTGCAGTGTGTGTACAAAGCTGTCCTCGAACTCCCACATGTGCTCTATGGCAACACACACACACACACACACACACACACACACACACACACGAACCTGGTGGGGGAGCTACTGATTTTATTTTTTTTTTAAAGCAAGAAAAAAATCACTAAGTTCAACCTTATTCAGACAAAAGCTGAGCACAGTTAAGTAGGGGATGGAAGGGCTACGTCAGCAATCATAAAGCAAGTGGTCATTGAAACCTCCAGCATAGATATTAATGAGCCAAACAGAAAGGAAGCAGCTGAGAAAGTAATATGGTTGGTTTTCTGTCTGTTTAACAGAAATTACCCAAAGTAATTCCTTTTGTTGTTTGTGAAGGGGATGGTTGGAGGAACCCTTAGAACAGTTGAAGGAACCAAACAAACAAAAAAGTTAAAGGTGACAGTGTATTTAAAAAGAAAACACTTTAGTTCTCCAAATTAAACTACGAAGTAAACTAAAAACATGCATAAATGTTTCTCAGTTTATTACAGCTTATTATGTAAGAACAATAGACTGCAAATCTCCTAAAAACTAATTTCAGGAAATAGTTTAATCTATTGTTGTTTCAATACAACAAACTCTTGCAGGGAGACTACGAGAAATGCTGGTATGAACATGGAAAACAAAGTTACACAGGCTTCCACATTTGCCAGCTATTGGAAAAATTAGAAGAAAGATATTCTACAGCCAGTGTGTTTCAGATTTTACTGTTTTCTATTCTTTTCAGTTAAAAAAAAAAAAAAAGTCCAAGGGGAGAGCAACAACACAGGCCCTGACAGATCCAGCCTTTCATGGGCGCAGACTGATTACCCCGTTTCCTTTCTGGCAGTATATGGACAAAGCAGATTTCTGCAGCCCCAGGTGCTGTTCCTCTTGGAAGGTACTTAGACTTCTGACTTGCAAATTCAACCTCCAGCTCTATACAGGTGGCCACAGATTCGCATGGAGCAATGTTGGTAAAGGACCTTCCAGCAGCCCAGCACACAGGAGGTGGCCACACAACTGTAACTGTTAGTATTTAGGGATAACTTTCCATTATTCCCAATATTCCCAAACCAGCGCTCATCCTTATTTAATCAGCCTGAACTACCATTTTAATACCCCAATAGCTCTTTGACTGGCGCTTTCTGTTCTCTTGTGGTCAGCAGCCTGTCCTTACCAAGACACTTGGCACCCAGTGAATGCTACATAAGAGCCTCTGACACTACCCTCTCATCAGCTTAAATCCCACTGTCCAACCC